AGTGCAATTCTGATCTTACAAATCGATGCTTGTAAATTTGATATAGTCTCTAAAACAGACTCAGTGCTAAATGGCATGCTTATCTACATTGGGCCTTTGAGTTAAAAATACAAATTATGCAGTGACTGCAGAAGACGTGATGTGTAAAATGGTTGAATTGCTTTCAGCACCATTTTCTGTAAGTACTGGAATTCGTTCATGCTTTGAATTTCATGGTGGGAGAGAGGGGAAAAAACAGCAGTCACCGATCCTTTGAGGATAGTGATTATGAAAGAGCCCTTTGTGTGTGCCCTGGAGACGGAATTCTTTTCCATTAGTCGAAATAAGCTTATACCAGACCTGGCAATGGTCATCAAGATAAAATGCCCCCTTTTAGGTAGGTGAACACATTTAGAGTATTCAGAGAACACACTGGAACTCTGCCCAGGCAAGTTAGAGGGAGTTTTTATACTCCTTGAGAGCCCATGGAGCTTTAAAATAAATAGTTGCATACAAAGAAAGCGGGACAGCAGTTAGTGAAACCTTTACCATTAAATTACATGTGAAGACAAGGCCAGAATTAATTGTTCAAGAGATTTGCCACCTTTAAGGAAGTTAGACCTTTTTTCCTTTTTTAAGGGAGAGAAGGGAGTGTTAATGGATAGGTCACCAAAAAAACAAAAAAACCTTCTGAAAGGCGAAAATTCATCTTCAACTTTGAGTCTGAATATTCACTGCCTTTGTCCTAGATCTTAAATTCACAGCCTTTCTCACCTGAGAGAGGCCTTAGCGGTCGCTCAGTCCATTTCTTCCTTTAAGGATGAGCAGACCGAGGACGCAGAGGCGCCGCGCCTCACCCAGCGTCATACAACTGCAAGGGGAAGCGCCAGGCCGAGGTGGGCTGAGGACGGCTGTCCTCCGCCACTCTGTGTTGTGATATTCTCCCTTAAAACCTTGACTTGCTTTTCGACAAAGTCGTGTAGGAGCAGAAGGCAGCACAGCGGGGTTGCGCGGGAGAAGGGAGAAGGTGCCCCAGGGTGAGCAGGGTGTCAGGGCCAGAGCTGCCCTCTTGCCGACCAGCGCTCTGGCGCCCCCTAGCGGGAGGCTGAGGGGGGACGCGACCCCACCACCCCGCGCACCCCCTGGGCCGAAGCACCTCCCCGCCCTGCGGCCCCCGGGACTTACGTGATTGTCGCTCCCCTTCCAGAAGTAGAAGGCCCCGATGGCCCCGAAGAGCAGCAGCACCGCCCCCGAGATGAGGACCACGGCTCCGACCTTGAGCAGCCGCGCGGGGCTGGAGGGCTTCACGGTCACGGTGGCGTACGCCTGCGGGCCGGGGCGGCAGAGGGACCCGCCACGTCTGCGCCGCCCGCACCCCGCGGCCCTGGTGCCCCCCCTGGGGCCCCCGCGGCGTCCCCAGGGAATCGGGCGTGCGGTGGGGTGGGAAACAGCTCGCCCTGGGCTCCTTTGGGTGCCCCTTTCGCCGCGCTTCTCCCCGCGGATCCGCACTCTCCCCCACCCCAGCGTGCCCCCTCCGCACCCGCCTGTGGGTCCCGTGTCCTCTGCACCTCCGCGCGCGGGGCACCGCCCCACCCATACAGCTGGGACCCAAATTTGACCACCCCCCTCCCCCCCGCACACATTCGGTGGCACAAATCCTTGACCCGGTACAGTGGAACCATCACGCGCAGCCTGGGCCCCGCGTGGGGACTAATCCGGCAGCGGGACTGGAGTCCCGGGCGGTACTCACCGGGGGGCTGCAAAACTCAACGTCTTCAGGCCCCACCAGGGCAATGGGAACTTTGTCGGAGTTCTCCGTCATGGCTGCAGCGGGAGGAGCGAGGCCCTCGCAGAGTCCCCGAGCGACCTGGGCTCTGTCCCGCTGCCCCGACGTGCGGGGCATTTCAACGCCAGCGCGCACTCACGGTGCACGGTCCCGCCTGGGCCAGCCCCGCGGTCCCCACCCCTTCCAGCGCCTCACTCCTCTCCTCCCTTCTCCCTCCCGCCCCGGGCAGCAGTCTGAGCCGGTCCAGCATTCCCGGATGCCCCCTTTCCCCACTCTCTCCTGCCTACTGGCTCCCAAACAACGTCGCAGCCAGTCTGACTGTGTAAGGGTGGTTGCATCCTCGGTTAAGGATGTTGAGTTCTAGGCCCCTAAGAAACGCTGAATTGCCAGGGCAATTAGAGGATCTCTTAGAATGTCAGAGGGCTCTGCTGTGACACCTGGATGGAGGCCATTTCCTGCAGGGCCTTTGTATGTGTTGGCAGCCGGGGCTGGTGCTGATGGAACGGCACTGAGAAGAGAGCAGGGTGGTACAGGTGGATAGGGGACACTGGCCTAAGAGTGCCACGGTTAGACCACATTTAGGCTGGCCTGACATTGCTGGATGACCCCTTGCTGCCAGTTTCTCTAGGGAGTGGGTACAACTGCAGCAAAAGTGAAAGCTAGCCAGAGGGGGGCTGGAAGGGAGGCACTGGGGAGAACAGAATAAAAGTTCATGCTGGTTGGCTGAATTAAGTTAAACAAGCAAACAAAAACAATGACACAGCACACACATGCCTAAACACTGATGTGTCCAAAGAAAGAACTAAAACATATATATATATATTTCTCTTTTGGAAATGCTGCCTGCCAGTCCTAGGATGACAGGGTACCTCATGGGGACCCAGACTTCCTTGATTTGTATTGGGTTCTGGCTTGGTGTGGAGCCCCTTGCTGAGGAGTGAGGGGGGCCTGGTTTGTAGGCAGAGGGAGGTTGCCTAGGCAGGACTGCAGCAGGAGAAAGTGTTGAAGAATCATGGAGGACAGGGTTATGAGGGGATGCTGATGAGAGCGAGGACGGGTGACAAGCACGATGACCTGGGGCTGGGAAGGAGGGGAGCAGTGGGGGAGAGACTTCCACTGGAGCACCCGTAGCACTTGGCAACTCCTGGGCTGGGACAGACTGGGTTTCAGGCCTAAGGGGAATGGGAGAGTGGTAGGAGCCCAACGGAGGTGAGGAAGGGGGAAGGAGTTTTTAGACATGTTGAGCTGGATGTGGAGACTTTAAAAAAAAGGAGCCAGTGGAGACATCCTAAACCTGCCTTGGACTCAGATATGGTGATAGTTGTCTGCACATCCCGCTAGACTTAAGGTGCTTGGAAAACCTCCAGCAAGAGCTCCCTGGGACACTGCTGAGGCAGAGTTCAAAGACCTCTTTTCCCAAGGGCATTTGTCACAGGAATTTCTGGCGAAGGAATAAGAGAAGTAAGAGTCAGAAGTGTGGGAGATGATCCAAGATAAAGTAGCACATGGAATTTAAAAAGGAGAGTTCAAGAAGGATGGGTCAGCGGTGTCGCATGCTGAAATAAATGAGCACAGAGAAGGGCCTTTGGATTTCACAATCAGGAGAGCACGGGGACCAATGAGACAGCAGTTCCATTTGCTTTATTGGGCACAGGAGACATCCCAAAGGGTTAAAGAATGACCAAAAATATTTGCCACTGATATCACAAACAAGGAAATGGTTTTCTTATATAGAATTTCTCCAGGAAAACTAAAAGACCAAAAATGTAACAGAAAAATGAGCAAAGGATGGAACTGATTTAGAATTTCTAGACCTGGATTGGGATGGCGGGAAGCGATTTCACAGGTGTTCAACTCATAACTATTTGCTATACTATTAATGCATGTAATTTTCAGGCATTTTATATGCATATTTCATATAAAACATGTTCCATAAATGACTTTTTGGCAAAATATTTTTTCGTTAATGATGGAGGACCCAGAACTTCTAAATCCTACTCTTTACTTTGGCAGATATGGAAACATATAAAAGATGAAAATTTTAAAAATGTAATAAATTAAATATTTCTTCTCTCAGATATCAAAACCAAACATTAAATGATGATATCAAATTATTTTAAACAACAACAACAAAAAAACAAAGAAAAAAATAGGCAAAGGATGGAAAACAGACAATTCACAGAAGAAAAAATATTAATGCCCTTAAATTTAAGAAGAATGCTTGGCTGCATTCATAAAAGGAAATGCAAATTAAAAGTATACTGTTTCACCTATCGGACCGGAAAAAAATAAAAACATTTGTTAAAACAATCTGTTGGAGAGCATGAAGGGAAATGAGGCTGTTCCATATACTGCTGTGGGTGAGTGAATTGGTGCAACTTCTATGGAGAGCAATTTAATTCCAAAATGCAAAATGCAATTTCATCTCTATAGATTTATCCTGCAGATGCACTCACAAGGGTGGAAAAATCCTGTATGTGCAAGAACACCGCTGCAGCACGGTTGTTAGAACAAAGGACTAGTAATATCCTCGATGTCCAGAGTAGAGAATTTATGGTCCAGCCTCTCAGTGGGATTTTGGCAGCCTTTAAAAAGAATGAGGTAGTTTTAGATATACTGATGGAGAACACTGTCTAAGATATTTTAAGGGAAAAAAGCAAAGGGTAGAAAATGTGTATAAATGCCTCTATTTGTTTGAAGAAGTACAAACAAGAATACATGCATGTGTATGCCCTCTGGGAAGATAAACAAGATACTGGTAGTGGGGGGTGCCTCTGAGGATGTGGGGCTTGGAGTGATTGGTGCCAGGAAGATGCTTCACTATTTACCTTCTGGACTGTTTTGAATTCTGTGTTGTGAAGAACTGAGTGGATAAAATCCTAAAGAATGGTGAGTGGGCGGGGAGGAAGTGAATGTTGCAAATGCAGACGATTCTTTCAAGAACCGTGGCACTGAGGAGAAGAATGCGAGGAGGAGAGATGAAGGGACGGAGAGGATCAAGGTAGGTCCCCACTCTCTCCGCAAGGCTGGAAAGACGTTTGGAGCTAAGGGAGACAGGCAGGGATGAGGCAAGCTGGGGAAGGAGAGGATGGATCCAAAGCGGGCAAGAAGGTGAACCTTGAGAACGAGAGAGGGACTGGCGGGAGGGAGTGATGTGAGGATGCTCTGGGGACACGTGGACACCGAGGAGAGGCTGAGGAGTGGGGGAAATGTGCGCATTCTCTTGCCTTCCTCATGTGTTCTCAACAAATAACACACAGAAAGCAGCTGATTGGGGTGAGGGATGAAGAGTGAGTAAAGAGACCAGTTGCATCCTCTGAGCACATTCTCTTAAAGTGGCATATTTTCAACAATTTTAGGGTAGTGTGTTTACATGACGATGGTTAAGAGTGATGAAAAGACACTAGGAAAAGCAGCAAGGGTGCAAGACTGAGAGACATATTGCTAGGATTTGAATGTGTCCCCCAAAGTTCGTCTGTTGGAAACTTAATCCCCAGTGCAACAGTGTTGAGAGGTGGGACCTTTAAGAGGTGGTTAGGTGATGAGGGCTCTGCATTAATGCATTAATGCAATTTTTATTTTACTTTATTATTTTATTTTAGTTTTTAGAGACAGGATCTCGCTCTGTCACCTTGGCTGGAGTATAGTGGCGTGATCATAGCTCACTGCATCCTCCAACTCACAGGCTCAAGTGATCCTTTCATCTCAACCTCCTGAGTAGCTAGGATTACAGGCATGTGCCACCACACCAGGCTAATTTTTCTTATTTTTTGTAGATGGGGTCTTACTATGTTGCTCAGGCTGGTCTTGAACTCCTGGCCTCAAGCTATCCTCCTTGCTTGGCCTCCCAAAGTGCTGGGATTACAGGTGTGAGCCACCGTGCCCAGCAGGACTGTGTCTTATATAGTGTTGTTCATTGGGCAGATGCGTAGTAAGCTAATAAATGGGAAGGAAAGTGGTGCAAGGGTGCCGAATGATAGTACATACAGAAAACCTTGCTGAAGAAGCTTATGCTCCTTGTCAATTGCCTTGGTAGAATTACAAATGGTCAGTCACCATATGGCAGCGGTCCTCAACCTGTTTGGCACCAGGAACTGGTTTCATGGAAGACAATTTTTCCACCAACAGGTTGGGGGGGATGGTTTCGGGATGATTCAAGTGCATTACATTTATTGTGCAGTCAAACCTGTCTGCTAATGATAGTCTGTATTTGCAGCCACTCTCCAGCGCTGGCATCACCGCCTCAGCTCCACCTCAGATCATCAGGCATTAGATTCTCATAAGGAGGGCCCAATCTATACCCCTCGCATGCGCAGTTTACAGTAGGGTTTCGGCTCCTGTGACAATCTATATGCCACTGCTGATCTGACAGGAGGTGGAGCTTTTGCTGTATGCAAGCGATGGGGAGCAGCTATAAATGCAGATGAAGCTTCACTTGCTCACCTTCTGCTGTGTGGCCCAATTCGATATGAACTACTCGTGTGGTCAGTGGCCATCATTTTTAGCTAAAAATCGGAACTCATCGTTTGACAGAGGATTTTGTCTTTCTTCCAGATAGAACAGGTTGTCTGAGAAATGTAGTTTGGGTTCTTGACTACTGGAATATTTCAATGATTTGTGGAAATAATGGCGTAGAAATGAAGCATTAGAACAAGCCCAGGACCTGTGATCGCAGATCACAATGATCACGGAACAGCTGGCACCTAAACTGTGTGACCTTGCGCTGTGGTTATTTTGTAAATTCCTAATCCCTCTTGTAAGACAGCAAGCTCCTGGCTTGCTGGGGACTGTCTTGTACATCTTTGGATCCTTCTTGTGTTTAATACGGAGTGTTGAACGTGGCAGGTCATTGGTAAATGTTTATTGAATGGCTAAATAGGGACTAAGTCAGTTACCTCCTTGGCGTCGCAAATAATTGCTCAGGGGAATGGATACGGAATATTCGGGAGCTTGCAGACACTGTTCACAACAGAGCAATTACCAGAGCCCATGCACTGGGATTCACCTGGGTTTCCCCAGAGAACAGCATACCCAAT